ACTAGAAAGACCCGTAATAATTTCACGGTTTCCTATTTGAAATTTCTGATGAATCTTAATTCTTCAGTTAATGATTGAATAAGCTAAAGGCGAGTTCTACGACAATAAAATATCCGTAGAAATTCCCTTATCGCATCGTTAAATATTTGAGCTTAACATTTTAACAAAACTAGAAAACCCGTAATAATTTCATTTGTTTTATATATTTGAAATTTCTGATGAATCTTAATTCTTCAGTTAATGATGGAATAAGCTTCCTTAAGTTCTACGACAATAAAATATCCGTAGAAATTCCCTTATCGCATCGTTAAATATTTGAGCTTAACAACCTTAACAAAATTAAAAGACCCGTAATAATTTCACGGTTTTCCTATTTGAAATTTCTGATGAATCTTAATTCTTCAGTTAATGATTGAATAAGCTGAAGGCGAGTTCTACGATAATAAAATATCCGTAGAAATTCCCTTATCGCATCGTTAAAAATTTGAGCTTAACAACCTTAACAAAACTAGAAAGACCCGTAATAATTTCACGGTTTCCTATTTGAAATTTCTGATGAATCTTAATTTTTCAGTTAATGATTGAATAAGCTGATGGCGAGTTCTACGTAAAATAAAATATCCGTAGAAATTCCTTATCGCATCGTTAAATATTTGAGCTTAACAACCTTAACAAAACTAGAAAAGACCCGTAATAATTTAAACGGTTTTTCCTATTGAAATTTCTGATGAATCTTAATTCTTCAGTTAATGATTGAATTTTTGAAGGCGAGTTCTACGACAATAAAATATCCGTTTAAAATAATCTTTTATCGCATCGTTAAATATTTGAAATTTTAACAACCTTAACAAAAAAAAACTAGAAAGACCCGTAATAATTTCACGGTTTTCCTATTTGAAATTTCTGATGAATCTTAATTCTTCAGTTAATGATTGAATAAGTTGAAGGCAAGTTCTACGACAATAAAATATCCGTAGAAATTCCCTTATCGCATCGTTAAATATTTGATATTAACAACCTTAACAAAACTAGAAATAGTAACATTTTAATATTTTTTTTTTTTTTCTTTTAATTTTAAATTTTTTGATGAATCTAAATCTTTCATTTAATGATTGAATAAGCTGATTTCGAGTTCTATTTCAACAATAAAATATCCTTAGAAATTCCCTTATCGCATCCTTTTAAATATTTGATTCTTAAAAATTTTTATTTTAAAAACTAAAAAAACCCGTAAAATTTCACGGTTTTTTTAACAAAAAATTTTCAAATTTCTTGAATCTGAATTCTTCAGTTAATGATTGAATAAGCTTGATTGGCGAGTTCTACGACAATAAAATATCCGTAAGAAATTCCTTATCGCATCGTTAAATATTTGACCTTAACAACCTTTACAAAACTAGAAAACCTGTAATAATTTAACGGTTTTTTATTTGAAATCAATATGATGAATCTTAATTCTTCAGTTAACTAATTGAATAAGCTAAATGGAGTTCTACGACAATAAAATATCCGTAGAAATTCCCTTATCGCATCGTTAAATATTTGAGCTTAACAACTTTAACAAAACTAGAAAGACCCGTAATAATATTTTCAGAAAATTTATTTAAAAATTTCTGATGAATCTTAATTCTTCAGTTAATGATTACATTTGAATAAGCTGATGGCGAGTTCTACGACAATAAAATATCCGTAAAAATTCCCTTATTTCATCGTTAAATATTTGAGCTTAACAACCTTAACAAAACTAGAAATAAAAATTAACAATGAACGGTTTTCCAATTTCAAATTTCTGATGAATCTTAATTCTTTTAGTTAATGATTGAATTTTTCAAGGCGAGTTCTAAAACAAAAAATATCCGTATAAATTCCTTATCGCATCGTTAAATATTTGAGCTTAACAACCTTAACAAAACTAGAAAGACCCGTAATAATTTCACGGTTTTCCTATTTGAAATTTCTGATGAATCTTAATTCTTCAGTTAATGATTGAATAAGCTGAAGGCGAGTTCTACGACAATAAAATATCCGTAGAAATTCCCTTATCGCATCGTTAAATATTTGAGCTTAACAACCTTAACAAAACTAGAAAGACCCGTAATAATTTCAATTTTTCCTATTTGAAATTTCTGATGAATCTTAATTCTTCAGTTAATGATTGAATAATTTGAAGGCGAGTTCATTACGACAATAAAATATCCGTAGAAATTTCCCTTATCGCATCGTTAAATATTTGAGCTACTGTACATTTTTTTATACAAAACTAGAAAGACCCGTAATAATTTCACGGTTTTTCATATTTTCAATTTTCTGATGAATCTTAATTCTTCAGTTAATGATTGAATAAGCTGATTGTTGTTCTACGACAATAAAATATCCGTAAAATTCCTTATCGCAAATCGTTAAAATTTATTTGAAAAAACAAAACTAAAAAAATTTGTAATAATTTCATAAACCCTTTTATTTTTGAAATTATCAAATTTTTAATTTTTAAAAGTTTGATTGAATAAGTAAATTGATAATTTCGAGTATAAATTACAAAAAATATTTAGAAATGAAAAAATTTTCGCATTTTGTTAAATAAAAATATTTTTAATTTTCAACAAAATTTAGACAAATAATAATTTAATAAAAAAAAAATTTTTCCTGAAAAAAATTTCTGATGAATCTTAATTCTTCAGTTAATAAAAATTGAATAAGCTGGAATTGTATTTTCTACGACAATAAAATAGATTTAGTTAAATTCCCTTAAATTATCATCGTTAAAATATTATATTAACAAATTTATATAAAACTATAATTTATTTAATTTAATTTTGAAATATTTATATTGCTTTCTAAATTTAGAATTGAATCTTAATTCTAAATTTTAATGATTGAATAAGCTGATTGAGTTCTTACGAAATAAAATTTATTTTTTCAAAATCTTAAAATAAAAAAGAAATTTTATTTAAATTTATTGTCAATTTCAATTTAAATAATAATGAAGAAAGTTTTTTAAAAAATATTTGATCCCAATCTTTTTTTAAATATAAATTTTAAAATTTATATTTTTAGAAAGATTTCAAAAATAAATTTATTTTGTTTTTTAAACAAAATCAAAAAAAATATGAATTTGTAAACTATATTTAACATATCCATAAAGAAAAATTTTTTTTCAAAATATTATTTTAATTGAAAAAACAATATAAAAATTACATTTAAATTTTTTTTATTATAAAAAATTGAATAAAAAAAATTATTTTTATTTCGAATAAGGGACATTTGGTAAAAATTAATTCTTCGATCAACTTAATAAAAATTAACCATTAATTCATTTGTTTTTAAATTCGAATTTTTTTAAAAAAATTTGTTTTCAAACAAAATAAAAAAAAGTGATATTTTATTAAACTTTAAAAATTTTTCTTTTTTAAATTTTTTGAAAAAATTTCTATTTTTTTTTTTTTTTAAAAAAAAAATTTTTATATTTTAATTTCAATAAGATCTTTTGAAATCAATTCAGTTGCTTTTTCCATGTTTAAAACATTTTCCTTGACCATGGAAAAAAAAATATAAAAAGATTTTAATAGATTTTAGCAATTCTTTTTAATGAAATGGGAAAAACTTTTTTTTAAAATATTATTTCAAAAAATCTATAATCAAAATTTTTATTTGTTGTCCAAGGTAATAGCTTTTGTTTTTTTTCCAGATAACAAAATTTTGCCATCCCTTAGTTTAAAACGGAAAAAAAAACATAAACAGAATTTTAATTTGTTTTTTTTTTTTAAAAGCAATTTTTTTTTCTTCTTCGCAACATTGAATTTTTATTTCATTTTTTTTTCTGATGGTATTTTGTTTTTAAAACAGGAATTGGAACCTTTTAAAAAAAAAAACTCATTTTTTTAGTTTCTTTCATTTTTGTATTCCTTTGATTTTTAAAATTTCAAAAAAGAAAAATGTTTCCTCTTTTGCATTTTTGGTTTTATTACAAATATTTTATTTTTTCTTTCTTCTAAAATCTTTTTTCTGAATGTTTTTTCCTAAATTTTAATTTTTTTTGTTTTCTTTTTTTTTATTTATTAACCTTTAAAAAAATTGTTTATGGCTGGGAATTAAGAAGATTTTAATCAAAATAATTTAATATTAAACCAAAAAATTTAGCCATTTGATCAAAAAAAATTGGCAATAAAAAAAATAAGAAAAATATAAAGGTTTTTCATTTAAAAAAAAAAACAAAATAATCTACTTAAAGAATTATCAGAAAATTTCCATGAATCACCAGATCATGATTCAGATGAATTTCATCATAAGGAAGTGAACATTTAATTTTTCAATCATAAAACCAAAAATTCTAAAATGCTTTTGTTATTGCCATTTAATGGTAAAAAAGAAATTCCCATTTCAGAGATTTTAAAAAAAGTTTATCCCAGATTCAAATGTAAAATTTTTTTTCGTAAGCTGTCAATTTTAATTTAGAAGATCGTTTTTATTTACCAAAAACAAAATTCCATTTTAGAAAAAGAAAAACTGATCATTTTGAATTTGAAAATGAATGGAAACAAAAATTTTTAAATAAGTAAAAATGAAACTGAATCAAAAATCCATGCCAATTTTTTATTAATTTAAATTTTTAAAGGCTAGCTTTTTAATTTTCAAAAAACTTGAATCTTTTTGAACATACTTTTTTTAAGAATACTGTTACATAGTTTTAGATTAAATAAATATTTAATTCAATTTAAAATTGATTGATAAATTATCTTTAAATGAAAGATTTGTTATTAAATTCATAAAATAAACATTATGAATTTTTAAAAATTTAAAAGATATTTATTTAGATTTTTTAAAAAAGAAGATTTTTGTTCTTTGTTCTTCTTCTATCTAAATCTAACTAATTTTTTCTTTTCTTTTTTTGTAAAAAAAAAAATTACAGAATTCAAAAAAATCAATTTTTTTTTGATTCTTAAAAAAAAAAATAATTTTAAAATCTATTTTTTTTTTTTTATTTTCTTTTTTTTTTAAATTAAATGAACTTTCTTTTTTTTTTTCTTTTTTTTTCTTCTTTTTTTTCTTCTTTTCTTCAAAATCTTTATTTATTCCACCTCCTTGAATTACAATTTTTTTTAAGGATTTTTCTTTTTTTATTTCTTTTTATTTATTTCTTTTCTTTAATTTTTTCCATTTCCTTCTGGTTTTTTTTCTTTTTATCTTATTTTTCTTCTTTTTCTCCTCTTTAGAAACTTTTTCCTTCCTTTTTTGTTTCCTTTTTTTTTTTTGGGAAAAAGATTTTTCTTAATTTTTCAAAGATTTTTTTTAAACAAATTTTCATTTTTTTTATTTTTTTTAGATTCTTTGAATTTTTTCAATTTTTTTTCTTTTTTTTCTTTTTTTCTTTTCTTTCTTCTTTTTCTTTTTTCTAAAATCTTTCTTTTTTTCTTCTTTTTTTTTTTTTCTTTTGTTTCTTTTTTTTCTTTCTTTTTTCTTCTTTATAAGATTCTTCTTCTTTTTTTTGATTTTTTTTTTTTTCTCCTTTATTTCTTCTTCTGTTTTTTTTTCTTCCTTTTTCTTTTTTTTTTCTTTTATTTTTTTTTTTTTTTTTTTTTTCTTTTTTTTTCCTTCTTCAATTTTTTGGAAATTTTTTTTTTCTTCTTTTTTCTTAAAATTTTTGGTTTTCTTTTTTTAGAATTTAAACTGAATTTTTTTTTACTTTTTCTTCTTTTTGTTTCTTTTCTTTTTCTTTTTTTTTTTTTTTTTTTATTTCTTTTTCTTTTTTCTTTTTTTATTTCTTTTTTTCTTTTTTTTTTTTTTCTTTTCTTTCTTTTCTTCTTCTTATTTCTTCTTTTGATTTTCTTTATTTCTTCTTTTCTTCTTCTTCTTTTTTTTTTTTCTTTTTTTTTTGTTTTCTTCTTTTTTCTTTTCTTCTTTTTACATTTTTCTTTTTTCTTCTTAAATTTTTCCCTAATTTTTTTTTTTTTTTTTTTCTTCTTTTTTTTCCCATTTTTTTTTTTTTTTCTTTTAAGATTTCATCATTTTTTCTTTTTTCTTCTTTTTTTTTTTTTTTCTTAAAATTTTCATTCTTTTCTTCTTGATTTTTTTTTCTTTTTTTTCTTCATATTTCTTCTTCATTTTCCTTCCATCTTTTTCTCAAACTTTTTTTCTTTTTCTTTTTTTTCTTTTTTTTTTGGATCTTTCTTTTTTTCTTTCCTTTTTTTTTTTCTTTTTCAAGAAATCCGACCTTTTTTTTTCTTTCTTTTCATTTTTTTTTCTTTTTTTTAAATTATTTTTCCTTTTTTCACGTTTTTTCTTTTTCTTTTTTCTTTTTCCCAAAACCATTTTTTTCTTTTTTTCCTTTTACTTTTTTTTTCTTCTTCTTTTTTCCTTTTTTCCTTCTTTTTTTCTTATTTCTTCTTCAATGTCTTTTTTCCTACTTTTTATTCAGGTTTTTTTTTTTTATACCTCCGTTTTTTTCTTTTTTTCTTTTTTTTTTTTTTCGCCTTTCATTCTTTTTAAAACTTTTTCTTTTAGTTTTTTTCTTTTCTTTATAATTTTTTTGTTTTTTTTTCCTTTCTTCTTTTTCTTTTTTTTTTTTAATTTTTCCTTTTTTTTTATTCTTCTTCTTCTTTATTTCATAGGATGGAAGTGCGTCCTTCTTCTTTTCTGAAATTTTCTTTCAAAGGAACTATTTTTTGTTTCCGCCGTTATTCATTCTTTTCCATTTTATTTTTTTGAGATTTCAATACATTCATTCTTCTTTTTGTGATGTAAATAATTTTATTCTTCTTTTTCTTTTTTTTCTTTTTTCCTTATTTCTTGCCTGGTATTGTCTCCTCATTCTTCTTCTATTTTTTCCTTTTTCATATCTTTATTCTTAAAGCCAACGTCAAAACTTTAATTCATTGTCTTTGTAGGAACAAATCTGGCTTTTTCAATTTTCTATATCAAATTTTAAAGAGTTTCTTCTTCTTCTTCCCCAACCTTTTCGTCCTCATTTCTTTAAAACTTCATTCTTCTCCTAAGACATCCATGGACTCTTTCATTCTTCTTCTTCTTCTTCTTCATGTATATTTTTTCAAATGTTGAATTCCTTTAAAGCGATAAATCTTTTTTTCTCAATTCTTCTTAAACATCTTAAAGACTTTTTTTAATTGTTCAAATTCTTCTTTGTGTAATTGTTTAGGAAATTCTTCTTTTCTTAAAGAACTGAGTAAGATTCTTCTTCTTCTTCTTTTTTTTTAAAATAAAATGTTTTTTTTTTTCTTCTCCAATTTTTTTTTAAATTTTTCCAATTCCTTCTTCTGCTTTTTCTTTTTTTAATGTTTAATTTTTTTTCTAATTTTATTTACATCCGCCTCTTTCATTATTCTTTTTAATCGTCTACTATCCGCGTTATATCATCATTCTTTTTCGTTTTTTCTCCTTCTTTTTGTTTATAAAAAAATTCGCCTCAAGTAAAACATAAATATTTCTGAAATTCTTTAGTAAATTAAAAAACAATAAGTGGAAAATTCTCAAATGCAAAAAAAAGAAAAAATCCGCCTCGTTCATTCTTATTCTTCTTTGAGTCCACCTCACACATACAATTGTATTTTTTTCTTTTTCTTCTACATTTTTCTTTTCTTTTCCAATCGAGAAAATCATCTTCTTTTTCTTCTTCTTCTCTTTTTGTTTAAATTCTCATGTAGAAATTCTTTTTCTTCGTTTTAGTTTTATGCGTCCTCCAGATTCCATAAATTCTTCTTCTTATCTTCTTCTAATTCTTTTCATAACTTGTTTTCTTTCCAACTCATTAAATCTTCTATTTTCTTCTTCTTCTTCTTTTTCTTTTCATTATAATTTTGCCATAAAACCGGTTTTAAAGAAAATTCTTTTAATTTTTTTTTTCTTCATCTTTCTTCTTTTTCTTTTTTCTTTCTTCTGAAATGATTATTTCATCTTTTTCTTTCAATGTATTAAATTCATTCTTCTTCGAAACTTTCTTCTTCTTTTTCTTCTTCTATCTATTTATTCATTTTTTGTTTTTTCTTGTTCTTAAACTTTCAATCCTTTGATAAAAGAAAATATAAAGACTCTTTTATAATTATATCTTTAACCTTTCTCATTTTTCTTTAATTTTCTTCTATTCTTTCGTTTAATTTTTTTTCTAAATTTTCATCTTTCTTCATTTGTTTACAGAACATTTTCAATCTTGTTTTAGCTAAATTCCTCCATAATTTCTTTCTTCTTTTGAATGGAAATTTTTTTTTATATCAATTTTTCTCTGGTCTTTATGAAATTATTTTTTCAATTTCCAAATTTTTTCGTTCTTCTATTTATTTTTTTTCACAATGCAAAATGTTCTTCAAATTTTTGAAATTATGAAAAACTTGATTTTTTGAAGAATTAGAAATTTAAGCAATAAAACCATTCTAAAAAAAAATTTTTTTTTTTTGAAGAAAAAAAAAAAATATAAAGGTTTTTTATTTTCCATTTCTTTTTTTTTCATTTCTCTTTTTTTTTTTCTTTTTTAATTTTTCTTCCTGTTTTTTCTTCTTCTATTCAAATTCATTAAATTCTTGAAATAATTTTTTCATATTTTTTTTTCTATTCTTTTTAAGAAGTTGCGTCTATTTAAAACATTCATTTAAAAAAAGATTTTTTCTTTTTTTTTTAAAGTTGTCTTCTTCTTCCAAACATCTTCTTTTCAAATAACTGAAAATTCTTCTTCTTCTTTTTCTTTAACTTTTTTTTCCTGGTTCTTTTTTTTTTTTAAAATAAATTTTTACTTCTTTTCTCTTAAAACAATTCTTTTTCTTTCTTCTTTTTTTTCTTAATTTTTTCATTTAATTTTTTTTTTTCATTTTTCTAAATGTAATCTTTCTTCTTTCCTTCTTTTCAAATATTTTGTTTGTCTGCAATGCTTTTTTCATTCTTTTTCAGATGTTTTTCTTTTTTTCTTCAAATCTTTCCGCCAAAAATTTCTTTTTTTTTTTATTTTCCGTTTTCCCAAGAAACATTCTTTTTTTTTTAATTTTTTTTTTTTAAAATGAAAAATTTGTAAATACTTTTTTTTTGGATATTTTTTAAAAAAAATGTTTTTATTCTTTTTTTTCTTTTCGAATAAAAATTTTTTTTTCTTTTATTGTCTTATTTTCAATCCTCATTCTTTTTTTATTTTTCTTTTTTATTTATTTTATATTTATTTATTTTATAAATAAATCAGAAATTTTTAGATAAACCTTTGGGTTGAAATCACTTCTTATTTTTTGTTGTTTATTCATTTCTTTTTTTTAAATGCTTTTTTTCCTTTTCTTTCCAAATTTACATAGAATTGAATTTAGCAAATTTCTTTTTTTCATTCTCTTGTTTTTTTTTTTTCCTTTTTTTTTTCAAAAACATTCATGTGCTTTAAGAAAAAATTTTTTTATTTTCCTTTCTTTTTCAACAGAAAACTCATTTTAGAACTGTTTGCCTTTATTAATAAAATTCAAGCCATTTTCTTTTATTTTTTTTAAAAAAAATTTCTTTTTTGAAATTAAGAATTCCTTTTTTTTTTTAAAAAAAAAATCAATAATTCTTTTTTATTCTAAAAAAAATTTAAAATATCGATTTTGGTATTTCTTTTCTTTTCTTAAATTCAAAAAATTTTTTTTTAGGAATCCGCTACAAAATTTATTTTCTTTTTATTCCTTAAAATAATTTTTTCATTTATTTAATTGGAAATTTTTCTTTTATTTAAAGAAACTTTTCTTTTTCTCATAAATATTTTTTTATATTTTCTTTTCTTTTTTTTTTTTTTTTTTATTTTTTTTTGAATTTTTTACAATTGAATTTTAGAATTTTTTATATTTTCTTTTTCTTTTTTATATTCAGAGTGGTTAAAAAAAATGAATCTTCCCTTTCTTTTTTTTTTCTTCTTTTTTATTTTTCCGCCTAAAATTTAATATTTTTCTTTTATTTTTTTTTATTTTTTCAAAACTTTTAAAAAAAAAGGGATTTCTTTTTTCAGATCCTTTTTAAATTTTTTTTTATTTAAAAAAAAAATTTTTCAAAAATATTTTTTTTTTTAAAAATTTTTCTTCTCTTAAATTTTTTTAAAGGTGGACAATTATTTTAATTTTTATTTAAAAATTCAAAGCTTTCCATTGAAAAATGATTTCTTTTTGAATTTTTTTTTTTTTTTTTATTCAAATATTTTTTTTTTTTTTTTTTTAAATCTATCTTCTAAATTTTTTTTCTTCAAATTTTTTAGAAACTTTTTTTTTTTTTCTGTTTTTATTCTTTCTTTTTTTTTTGTTTAAAAATTTCAAAATATTTTTAAATCTTGAAAATGACTTTTCCCCTTTTAATTTTTTTTTTTTTTTTTTTTCTTCAAGAGTCTTCTTCTTTTTTACAAGTTTTTTAAAAAACCATAAATTTTTAGAAAATAAATAATTTTTTTTCATCGGAAAGAAAAACTTTTTTTCTTTTTTTTTTAATTTTATTAAAAAACATTTTTAATCTTTTTTTTCTTTTCTTTGATTATTTTTAAACATAAACAAAAATTTGCCTGAAAAAACATTTTCTTTTTCTTATTTTCTTTGGATTTCATTTAGAAAAAAGATCTTAATGTTTGTTTCTTTTTTCCCCTTTATTTTTTTTTTTTCTTCATTATTCAAAATTTTGATTTCTTTTTAATTCCTCTTTAAAAAAAATTCTTTGAATTTATTTTTTTCTTCTTTAAAATTCATTTTTTTAAAAAATTTTTTAAATTCCAAATTTTTTTTTTTTTCTTAAGTTTTTCTTTTTCTTTTTCTTATTTTCATTTTCCATTTTTTTTTTCTTCTTCTCAAAAAAATTTTTAATTTTTGAAAATTTTCTCAAATGAATAAGAATTTCTTTTCTTTTTTCATTTGTTTTCCAAATTTTCTTTTTCATCTTTTTTATTTTTCTCCCTTTTCTGTCATTTTTTTCTTTTTAAAAAATTCTTTTTCTTTTATTTTTCTTTTTTCTTCTTTTTTTTTTTCATTTTTTTTTTCTTTTCTTCTTTCTTTCTTTTTTTAAAAATTTTTTCTTTTTCTTTTTTTTTTTATTTTTTTTTTTTTTTTTTTCAATTTCATTTTTTTTTTTTTTCTTTCCTTCTTTTTTTCATTCTTTTCTTTTTCTTTATTTTTCTTTTTTTTTAAATATTTTTTCGTTTTTTCCTTATATTTTTTTTTTCCTTTCTTTCTTTTTTTTCTTTTTTTTTACTTTTTTAATTTTTTTTTATTCTTCAATTTCTTTTGGCGTTTTTTTTTTTAAATTTTTTTAAAATTCTTTTCTTTTATTTAATTTTTTTTTCTTCTTCTTTTATCATATTTTCTTTTTTCTTCATTCTTTCTTTTTTCTTCTTTTTCTTTATTTGTTTTTCCTTTTAATTTTTTTTTTTCTTCTTTTTTTTTTTTCTTTTCATTTTTCTTTTTTTTTTCTTTTTCATTTTTTTTTTATTTCTTTTTTTTTTCTTCCTTTTTTTTTTTTCAGGTTTTTTTTTTCCTTTATTTCTTTATTTTCTTCTTTTTTTTTTGTTTTTGAAATTTTTCTTTTTTTTGCCAATTTTTTCGTTTTTTTTTCTTCTTTTTCTTTTTTTCTTTCCTCATCCTTTTTTTTTTTTTTTTCTCTTTTTTTTTTTCTTTTTCTTGTTTGGCTTTTTTTCTTTCTCTTATTAGTTTTTTATTTTTTTTTTTTTTTTTCTTTTTCAATATTTCTTCCATTTTTTCAAAATTTCTTTTTTTTTTAATTTCTTTTCTTCTTTGAAAATTTTTTTTTTTTGTTTTTTTTCTTTTCTTCTTTTTTTTTATTTTTTTTTTTTTTTCTTTAATTTTTCTTTTATATTTTATTCTTTTTATTTATTTTCTTCTTTTTTTTTTAATTTTCGAATTTTTTCTTTTCTTTTTTTCTTTTTTTTTTCTTAAAATTTTTCTTTTTTTTTTTCATTTTCTTTTCTTAAAATTTTTCTTTTTCTTTTTTCGAAAAAAAAAATTTTTTTTTTTTCTTCTTTAAAAATCTATCTTTTGAATAAAATCTTTTTTATTTTTAATTTTTCTAGAAAAAACTTCATTTCATTTTAAATTTAAAATTCTTTTTTTTCTTTATTTTTTCTTTTTTTTTTTTCTTTTTTTTCATTTCTTTTTTTTTTTTTTTTCTTTCTTCTTTTTTTTTTTCTTTTCATTTTTTTTTTTTTTTTCTCAAAATTTTTTTTTCTTTTCTTAATTTTTTTTTTTCTTTTTCTTTCTTTTTTCTTTTTATTCTTCTTTTTTTTTCTTTTCTTTTTTCTTTTTTCTTTTCTTTCTTCTTCTTTTTTTCTCTTTTTTTCTTCTTTTTCTTTTTTTTATTTTTTTTTTTTTCTTTTTTTTTTTTTCTTTTTCATTTTTTTTCTCAGATTTTTTTTTGAAAATTTTCTTTTTTCTTCTTCTTTTTTTTCTTTTTTTTTCTTTTTTTCTTTTTTTTCTTTTCTTTTTTTTTTCTTTTTATTTTTTTTTTTTTCTTTTCTTCTAAATTTTTTTAAATTTTTTTCTTCTTCTTTTTTTTTTTCTTTTCTTCTTCTTTTTTTTTTTTCTTTTTTTTTTTTTTTCTTTTTTTCTTAAGAATTTTCTTTTTTTTTTTTTTCTTTTTCTTCTTTCTTTTTCTTCTTTCTTTTTGAGAAATTCTTTTTTTTTCTTTTTTTCTTTTTTTTTTTTTCTTTTTTCTTCTTCTATTTTTTTTTTTTTTTCTTTTTTCTAAATATTTTTTTTCTTTTTCTTCTTCTTTTCTTTTCTTCTTTTTCTTCTTCTTTTATTTCTTTTTCTTTTCTTTTTCTCCGCCTTTCATTCTTTTTTTTTTTTTTTCTTTTCTTTCATTTCTTTTCTTCTTCTTTTTTTTTTTTTTCATTTTTTTTTTCTTCTTTTTCTTTTAATTTTCTTTTTTTTTTTTTTTCTTTTTTTTCTT